GTATATTGGGAAACAAGTACTATTGTACTTATACATAGTCCTTCTCATCATATATAACAAGCTTTGCTGATAAAACATGTATAACTTTGCAGTGATAGCCTAAATATGTACATAAGAAACTGTGAAGAGAAACACATAGAACATGATAGTAGGGATAAGGATAGTAACTGATGGAGTTTTACACGGTTGGATGGGTAGTTAACTTTATGTGGTTGAATTATAATTGCTTGTAAATCTTCTGGTTGATTTGATAAAATTTTGAATAGCTATAAAAATGTTTACATTTTGATCATATGTTTTTGATACATCAACAAACAGTAATAGATCAACACTTAATTGGTAAGGCAATGGAGTCAAGTATCTTTGGCGTGATTCAATGTGATTAGTACAATATAACAAATAATGGGAACTGTCTTCTACAAAATGTCCACATGAACATACGGGATTGTCAACAAGATTTCTTTCAAAAAGATTGTCTCGNAAAATAACTGAGGGTAGGAAAGACTTGCGATAAAACTCAGTAGTGCATCTGATACCTGTAAGATCGTTACCATGCCTAGTGCTGTAGTTTTGCACATCAGACATGCTAGGAGGTACAAGCTTGGAAAGATAATTAGGAGTGAGACGATGAAACATTTTATTGTTAAGATATAGGAAAGGATGATTGGGAGGGACCCTTTTCCTTGATATAATGATGCTCTTAGTTTTTTTGTGGATTGAAATCCACTAGTCAAAGTTTAGCCCAAATATTGGGTTTTTCTAAGTCATTATTTAGTTGTTCAGCTGCCAAAAAGGGCGTATCAACTATGATATAAATTGAGGTGTCGTCAGCGAAAAGCTTAATTACAGAGGCAATATCAATAACAATATCATTTATATAAATTAAAAACATAAGAGGCCCTAAGATCGAACCTTGAGGAACACCAGCCTTGATATCTGCCAAGTATGATTCCACCCCGTTGATAATAACTTTTTGTTTTCTGTTTGTTAAATAGTTTTTGAACCATTGAATCATTTTACCGCTTAATCCAATATTAATAGGTTTGTATATAAGGTCTTTGTGCCACACTCGGTCAAATGCCTTGCTTATATCACAAAACAAAGCTCTTACTTCTTTTCCCGAATCAACTGCCCTTCCCAAATCATTTGTAATAGCCAATAATTGATTTACTGTGGAATCACCGGGCGAAATCCAGACTGGCATTTTGTAACTAAATTATACTCATGTAAAAAATTGTGAACATACTTGCACATACACCTCTCCATTACCTTCCCAATAATACTTAAAAGAGAAATAGGGCGATAATTTTTCATGTCGTTCTTTTCGTTCTTTTTATGTACAGGAATAACATTAGCTATTTTCCAAGAGTCAGGAAATATGCCAGCTTGTATAGATAAGTCAAAAAAGGGTGCATAAAGGCAAAGATAATTCATGTGCGCCCTCTTTTAATAGGCGTGGATTCATTAGATCTGGACTAGTAGCTTTCGTGGTATCGAGGGATAATAAAGCATCGCAAACATCCTCAACTGTTAAAATGATATTGTCTAATTTATGAACTGGAGTTGATGAGAGCGTGAGTCGTCTACAGTAGACTGGGAAGAAAAATAATCATTAAACAGTTTGGCTTTTTCACCCGCTGTTTCGTATTGGGAACCAGCATGTACCAGAGTTGAAATTGAGTTTGATTTACCAGGGTTGCCAATAAATAATTTCATAGTATTCCACCAATATTTGTTATTTAGACTATTCGTGTCCCGTAAGCTAGAGGTAAGTTTGTTGTGATATTTCTTTTTAGCAATTCTACAAGCATTAGCACATCTGTTACGTAACCGTCTGAAATTAAGCCAGTCAATAGGGGAATTTGAAGATCGAGCAATTTTATGAGTTCTTTTTCGTTTACGAATCAGTCTACGAATTTTATTACAAGTTCAAGTTCAAGTTCAATTTGTTTATTTAAGTGTCACATATCACAATTACATTTATTTTCATTAATACATATAAAATACTTGTACAAAATATAAATCAATTCCATTGGTACATATAAAATACTTGCAGTTGGCTGTTTCCTAGAACTTAAAATAGTTTGTTTAATATAAGAAAAAACCCCACTTGTAATAGGGATCAATATCGACATTAGATTATTGTGAGACTATCCTTCTTATTATTATTAACATGTAGGTTGCAGTGACTCAAAGTGCGCTACCTTAGGGTTGGGGAGAGCCCTACCATCGAAGACAGGTCGCTCTGCGCCACTGCAATCATACGATGTAACTTTTTTTTTTTTTTTTTTATCAGTTTAAAAAAAGGAAAACAGGTTAAAAATAATTGAGAAATCGATTGGCTCCAAGCGGTTGGGGAGAGCTCTACCGGCGAGGGCTTCTCAAGGTCCCTTCTTAAGGTTACATTTAATAGTTTAAAACACAGTTAAAAGGGCAAAATTTAGTATTGATCAATAATTAACAAATTAAATAATATTTCAAGGTCTATGTCCTATGGTTATTACACATCCATGGCGGATCGCAGGGTCTAATTTTTGCAGACTTAACAGGTATACATTCTCGAGCAACGGTCATGATTTTTCAGTAAAGTTCTTGACAATATAAGAAGGCCGTAAACAGGGCAATAATAGCGCGTATTCTGTTCTAAAAAATGGTCGCCTACATACGTACGAGAAACAATAGAATCATCGCTATTACTATATCTAATAGACTAGAGTTTGTTTCAGTATAAAATATGTATTTGTTCATGTTTTGTATGATACATATGTCTTGAATAGATATCTTTTAATATAACCAAGATATTCAATTTAATGTATAAGGTACCTTATTATAGTAGATATATGACATAAGTTTTTGAAATACATGAATGAAATTATTCCTTTAGTAAATATTAAGTTAGTTTGCCCGTCTTAATGAGATTTTTGGGGCGAATGATGCTGCTTCATCAAATATGAAATTTGATGTCAAATGCTAGATCAGATTAATGACCGTTTTAATGAATTAAAACAAGAAAACACGATAACCATTCTTTAAAGAGTAAACCAGCTGGAACTTACCGTGATTACTGCGTCAACATCATGAAAATCATCTGTTAATGAATGAATTGACGTGATCCAAGCACAGGTATTTGAGTTTAGAAAAGGCCCAAAAAAGTATGTTTCGTGTACCTCGACCGATCCTTGTTTTTACCTCCGACCCTAACAATTTTATCTTACCCGAATGTACTTAAAGATCCAATTCAAACGTGCCGAAATTCATCGGCACGGTACACACAGTCCTACCGACCTACCTTATTGTTTTTAGTCATGTTACCTGAAGCATGCATGTTTTTATATATATATATATATTTGGATTAACAGAAAATCAACGAAAGGTTAAAGAACCAGCCCGGACCCTGACCCATCTTTAAAGGCAGTGTTTGGACTTATTCTTTTGATTGGATTTATTTTCAAATGTCGAAAGTCACGTGCCGGGGGTCCAAGTTACATTTGGAGTCCACGATCAGAAGGAGTAGGATTCAACATCACAATAATACAGTTTCGATCATAACTTAGTTATAATCATTGAAGTATTGAATACTTGCAAGTAGCCCGAACACTTCAGACACTAAAAACACGACATCATATAGTGCTTTATTTCAACATTTTATCGACTTATATTATTAATATCACGGATTTATATGTAATGTTTTTTTTTCTAATATTATATATACGCAATAATAAAAATAAAAATTCTATAAAATGAGCTCATAAAATTTTGAAATTCGACACTATATAATGTTACGCTTTTATAGTCTGAAGTGTTCTAAGATACGTGTGGTGTGAACTACAATCTACATTTACGGCCACATATTTGGTATATGCATAAAAATAAGATAAATTATTTCCGGTTCAGGAATTATCAAATTCCTCTATACCAGACTCATAAAAAAACATCATTATAATACATAACGCTAATAGTTGCAAAACATAAAAACAGCTAATTTCTATAGGCAGAGTTAATATTTGATTGTAGCTCTTTACCAGTGATTGTCCAATTTATTTTTAAAAGAGTTAACATTTGGTGCCGATATAACAGTTTCAGGTAATTTATTCCATAATGGTACAGTTTTTATAGAAAAGTGGTGCCTCCTTAGCCTGCTTGTTGATCTTTTTGGGTATAATGTCATAGGGTGTACCCTGCTGCTGTGCCGTAGAATGGCAACATTCTTTATCATAAATACCATTTAAAATTTTATATATAGTTCATAGAAATATGTATGATGTTATTTATAATTTTAAAGAAAAGTGTGGTTGTAAGGATTATTTGGACGAAGAAAAACATATTTATCTAGAGACGTAGTGAATAAAGCTATATAGTATATTGCACTTTCCATCTCAAAAATGCCAAGTCACGTACCATGCATCTCAAGGTATTTCGATGTAAACTAATCTTATTTTAATGAGGAGGCAGTTAATTTGTAATATATTTTGTCTTTTTCATTGTTTTAGTAAACAATGTTTTACATGTTATAAAATGAGTCATATTGTAGGGTGGTACACGCATATATAAAAAAAAAGTATGATTTCAAATGTGCATATTATATTGATATTGTCTCGTAAGCCAGTGCCGGTCGGCTAACTAGCATTAAATTTACCTTTCATTATGTTCTTCTTTAATTATTTGTGATAAGTGTTAGATTAAATAATAATATAAAAAGTGCATTTTTTATATTCTCGTTCACATGCATGCACATTTGGATGGAATATAGATTCTAAAAAACCCGTTTGTTAAAATTAGAACACAGGCAATAAACTATAAATAATGATTACTCATCACTATCAGTTATTTCCCTATTACAAATTTATCGACAGTTAAACAGAAAAACACTTCCGAATTTATTAATTTTCAGTTGTTCTGGAATGAATTAAAGTTTCACATGGAAAAAGTTTCCCCGAAGTTTCTCTGCGACCAACCGCACGTTCACGTTTTGTATTCCTCCGCGCACTAAGCGGAAGAAAGTGATTCGGCCTGAAATGGTGTCGTTGATCAAGGCGATGTTTACATCTACGTTTAATAATTTTTCCTGATCTACTAAATTGTAAAATTATTACCGGTTTGTGACGAATCGTTAGAAAAGACTTTCAAGATGTCGCGGTGTGATTTAGATGCCATACAGTTGCAATTGAAGACTGCAATTCAAAGTCACCAGGTTGGTTATGTGGTGAATGTTGTAAACTTTCTGTGTGGTGTGTCAAACGGGGAACTTTAGGACTTCAAAATTAAAGTTCTTTACTTAAACGGAAATATTCATGTAAAATGAATTATATTCTTTAAAGTGTATATGATTAAATTTACGTTTGCTTAATTTGGTAACAAAAATAATTATTTACGCTATTTTTTACTAATTTTCTTCGACCTTTGGATGTGATCCACTTGAGTGAATGGGCCTATGCTAGGAAAACAGCAACACGAATCCCTGCGTTGAATGATGTCACTGTAAATTAGTCGCCCTTTGTAGGGTATGCCAGATGATGCCCCATGTCCAATTAGCATTTAAAGTAAAGCTTTATATACAATTAAACTGTTGCATTTTTATTACAGTTTCTTGTGACGAAGATGAAATCGGACCCACAGGTAAGCTGCATAGTTCCCGGTTTTACTGACTGAAGGCATTTTCACTGGCACCATTGTTTCCAGTACGCGATGTACTTATCGATTTTTCTTGTGGAAGTTTTCTTCGCTAGACCTACACTCCTGGCAGCCGACAAGGGAAAGCATGTCGATTTTATTGTAATTATTTTGTTGTAGAATGCTGATCTTAGGAAACAACTTCACGACTTGCAGAGAGAAATCACAGTTTTGAGTGAGAAACAGGTGAGTTTCATTCAATCATCCCAATATTATTGATTATTTTTTATACTTTGTGTGAACAACACAGATTATGCTTGACATTTGTCGTTATCTTGCTCTTGATATGTATATAATCTATAAGCTAGTAATTTTTTTTTCATTTGGTGCTTTTATTTATTGTATTTTTTTTATGTCTGGTGATTTTTTTTTGATTTTTTTATCATCAGTTTATCAATAAACATTATTAAACTACAGGAATAGCCCATGTTATCTTTTTTCCTTTCCATCACACGATGCATTTGCAATATTAACTATTAAATTATGAAATATCGAGAATTGCTAAATTATCATAAATTATTATTTACTTAAGTGTCAGTAATTAGGTTTTAGAAACATAGATGTATTTAATCGAATTACAATGATTGGTTGATAATGTATATTATTATAAATCATGTACACACTATCATTCTTTCACTTTCAAATTTAATACACATAGGTTCAGATAGAGATCTATAACTTTTTAGACTACAACTTCATCTTGTGTTAAATGTTTATATTTATGTTATTCGTACCAGGTCAATTTCACTCGCCCAACATCTGGGGCTAGTCACTAAAATGTACTGTACATTTTGTAAGTGATGCTGAAAGTTTTGAATTCATTTATTTTGTTTCTGCAGCTGGTTCTCTAGAATATGAAGTTGTACACCCCTGAACCTGTTTGTTGCGTGCTAATTTTGACCAGGTTATTTATTGGAACTGTCAACCCTATTTTCATAAATTTCATATCTTTATTCCCAAATTAACGGCAAAAAAATGAGGATAATATGTTTTGAATATTTTTTGTTTAACCCAAACCAGGGGTCGGTACATTGGGTGTGATATTAATGTGTACACCAGTGCCTCTTCTCTCCAATCTCCAACCTTGATTCTGTGGTATGACTTGGTTAGTGTGTCCTGTCTCCTCCATCCTGATTCATTGTCATTGTTACACATGTGTCCTGACAGATTTTGGTTGAACTTTAATTTATACATCGGTAAAGTATGTGAATACCCAGATAAGTGTGACCAGTTAAGGGTTCCTAGGTGAATGCCAAGAGGTCGTCATTACAAATGAAAATTGTCAAACAGTGAAAATAATTTGCATACCTCTGAGCATGGAGCGATGCTAATTTGTATAATGAAATGATGGCCTAAACCCTTATTTTTAGGTCTGAGCATTTTCTTGGTGATTGTTAAAATTAAAGCCCTTGTTGTCAACTGGGGAAAATGTTTGACATTTATCAGCTTAGTGCATGTCACATTAAAACCAAATGGGAACATAAATATATACACTGGTTTACCACTGACTTTTTACTCTATTCATATTCCAAGGGATAGTTTTGTAAAGATTACTTTGCAAAGTATCATCTTAAAATAGTAAAACATCCTTATTTATCAAACATTATTCATTTTAGATGTTAAATGTTGCATTGTCCTCTGGATTTTTTTTCTTTGTTTTTTAATAATGGGAATTTTTTAACAGCTCTGTGGGAGGAAATAGCACCAGCTAAAAATTGTCACCCCCCACCACACACACACACACACACACACACAAAAGCCATCAAAGATGAGAGTAAAATTTGTTAAAAAACTTAATTGATGATTTGCTTAAGAAATAAAAGGTCTGGAGTCATCATATTTGGCGAATAGCTTCTGGCATAGAGTGCTAGAAAGTGCAAAAAGAAATTACCCATCGTCAAGATCTCAGGACTAAGATTCGTTAGACACTCAAACAATTGAGTTCATGAAAGTACCATCCAAGTCGGCAGGAAATAAAGAACACTTTTATATTCTATTATCCTATATACTTTATAAAATCTGTGTCTGTTCGGTAGGCAGATAATTGGCTTTGATATGACACCATACTTTCAAAGAACCTCATTTTTGAACATTATAAGAAAATGTTTACTAGAACAACTGAGCCTCTCTTCAGATAGCCTCGGAAAATGTACTAAATAAGAATTTCATCTGTCTCATTTATTGAAGTTTTGACAAAAAACAACTCGCTGGTATGAGACTTCATAAAATCTACAAGAAAACTGTCTTTTACAATGTATAACACAAGTGACCTACAGTGAGTGCAAGCGAGTGACAAAATTAAATATGACAATGTATATGGTGAAGTGTCTGACTAATATGAAGCATGCATATGACATGAATACTGAGCCTGCATTGCCTACAGTGTTATCTGTCCTACTGATCTGTGACGTCTGCAGCATTGACTGTCCTGCTGATCTGTGACGTCTGCAGTGTTTACTGTCCTGCTGATCTGTGACTACTGCAGCGTTGACTGTCCTGCTAATCTGTGACGTCTGCAGTGTTTACTGTCCTGCTGATCTGTGACTACTGCAGCGTTGACTGTCCTGCTGATCTGTGACGTCTGCAGTGTTTACTGTCCTGCTGATCTGTGACTACTGCAGCGTTGACTGTCCTGCTAATCTGTGACGTCTGCAGTGTTTACTGTCCTGCTGATCTGTGACTACTGCAGCGTTGACTGTCCTGCTGATCTGTGACGTCTGCAGTGTTTACTGTCCTGCTGATCTGTGACGTCTGCAGCGTTGACTGTCCTGCTGATCTGTGGCGTCTGCGGTTTTACTGTCCTGCTGATCTGTGACCTCTGCAGCGTTTACTGTCCTGCTGATCTGTGACGTCTGCAGTTTTACTGTCCTGCTGATCTGTGATGTCTGCAGCGTTGACTGTCCTGCTGATCTGTGACGTCTGCAGCTTTATTGTCCTGCTGATCTGTGACGTCTGCAGTGTTGACTGTCCTGCTGATCTGTGACGTCTGCAGCGTTTACTGTCCTGCTGTTCTGTGAAGTCTGCAGCGTTGATTGTCCTGCTGATCTGTGAAGTCTGCAGTGTTGACTGTCCTGCTGATCTGTGACGTCTGCAGCATTGACTGTCCTGCTGATCTGTGACGTCTGCAGAGTTTACTGTCCTGCTGATCTTTGACGTCTGCAGCGTTGACTGTTCTGCTGATCTGTGACGTCTGCAGTGTTTACTGCCCTGCTGATCTGTGACGTCTGCAGCGTTTACTGTCCTGCTGATCTCTGACGTCTGCAGCGTTGACTGTCCTGCTGAGCTGTGACGTCTGCAGCGTTGACTGTCCTGTTGATCTGTTAAGTCTGCAGCGTTGACTGTCCTGCTGATCTGGGACGTCTGCAGTGTTTACTGTCCTGCTGATCTGTGAAGTCTGCAGCGTTTACTGTCCTGCTGATCTTTGACGTCTGCAGCGTTTACTGTCCTGCTGATCTGTGACGTCTGCAGCGTTGACTGTCCTGCTGATCTGTGAAGTCTGCAGCATTGACTGTCCTGCTGATCTGTGACGTCTGCAGCGTTGACTGTCCTGTTGATCTGTTACGTCTGCAGCGTTGACTGTCCTGCAAATCTGTGATGTCTGCAGCATTTACTGTCCACTATTCTGCTTGGCTGTGATGATTGGAGCATGACTGTCTAGCTGGGCTGTGATGTCTAGTTGTTTACTGTCCTGTTTGGCTATGTGTCTACAAGGTTTACTCTCCTGTTCAGGTGTGTTTACTGAGTTACATAGCTTATTGGCTGTGATGTCTACAGCAGAGAACAGAGTTACATCATCCATGGCATGAAGGGAATGAAAGCCATTTAGTATGATTTGTACACTAGAAACCCAAGGAGTTGTCTTGTTCAAGTACACTACAAAATTAGCTCTCCCCAGCATGCTAGTATCCTTGGGGTGCAACAGTATATATATAAGGTTATTTTTAATATGGTACAATACACAATTTTTTTGGGGGGTCATGATACACCTAGACAATGTTTTCTGGATTTTGTCGTTTCTGAATTTAGTCTACTTATATCCGTTTGCACATGGCGAGTGACAGCTCCAGCTCGACATGCAGGTTGAAAGTCATGAATTGTTTGAAACTGAAACTCGTGTCTTTTTCCTGTTGTAATATCGCCATTAAACATTTGCAATATAACATTTTGCATCTGCTGTAACTATATGTATCGTGACCACAGTATTGTGATATGTATCATCTTAATGTATTGTTGCGGGCCTAGTATCTACTTAATGATTTGTACAGCTGGGTAGACGGGAACATCAGGCTAAATGTCTTGTTCACAGACACCAGTAACAGTGTATACGTAGCATGCTGTTATACATTTAAAAATCAAGGTAGCAATATTTTAAAAGAAAGAAAAATTGTTGGACATTAAACAAATTTTTGCATCCTCATCAACTCTCACCTATCAAGCAACATTTCTTAACAGATTTTGATAAGCTTTGTACTGAGGTCAAATATGTGAATACTTTGAATGAGTTCTTATTAATACCTGTTATTATATTAAGACAGTAATCCAAGGTCAAGGTCATCATTAATATTTTTAGAAAATTTTCAATTAATGACACTGGATCGTGGCCACTGATGTCTTACTTTCTCTAGTCTGTTTCACGCTGGTTATTAAAGTTGGCCGTGATATATTTGATTTTCATCATGTGTCATGTTACAAGTTAATGTTCAATGATAAAATATTAAACATGTAGAGGAGTTCAGAAAAAAATATTTCAGCTTCTTCTCTTGATCTAAGATACAATGTTATATTGAAACTGTGCAAATCATCATCTCGTGTCCAGTTGTTGGTTTACAGGCTCAATCGAAATATCAGTTGTTTGTCCGTACTTCTTATTGGCCGAGACCGTTCAGTAAGGCCTAAAACTTTAGATTTTCCTCTTATGGATATTGTTGATATTTTTCAAAAGCACTTCACAATTACAGATGGTCTTTAAACAATAGTTCTCAAAATATATATTTTGAACTTCTCAACTTTTAACAGGCAAGTGGTAACTAAATTTGATGTGATTGATGACCAGGTGTTAACTTTTATTTTAGGGTTGAATTGAAATCCAAGGTTACCGTATTCTTCTTATATTATAATTGGATGAGACATATATCAACTGTTCTTATATCTTCAAGATCAAATTTAACCTAACATACAACTATTTG